ATACAACGTAAATAATTTAAAGAATCAATGAAAAATAGTTTTTTTTTATATTGTTAATTAAAATTCATTAGGATTAACTTCGTCGAATTTGTGAATCGATCGAATGACCATCTGGAAATGATGGATTGATACGATTAGTTCGAGAGACTTGAGTTCGTTCTGGTTGTTGAAAACGATTCAACCATCGTGTCGGAAGAATCAATGCAAATAGTTCACGACGAAAACTGGGTGCTGTTAATGTGTAAACATAAAAAGTTAACTAAAATAATATATTATTAGAAAATCGAAATCTATATACAATATAAAGTCTTACTGCATTAAATATAAAGGTACCAAAACTACCGGTCGCTGTTATAGCTAAAGATTCTGCTGCAATTCGATATGGTGATTTACTTGATGCTGGAACATATTGTGTTATTGTTGAATAAACAAAATTTGTAACAAATGGAAGTGCTGTTGTTATATACAAAACCACTTGTCCTATAAGCATCACTGCCAGTTGAAGATCTCGTTTACGTACATGTACCTAGATTATACATATATGTAAAAAATGTATATTAATAAATAAATTTTATTCGCTATCACTTAAATATCATCATAAATATGATAACATAAAAATAAAAGTATGAAGAATACTCACTTTTTGGCGTCCAACTCGTTTTCCGTTTTGTTTCAATCGCCATATAATCATTCCACTTAATGTACTCATTAAAAAAGCTGGAGTTCCAAAATTGAATAAGAATAAAACTGTAGTATCAATGATTTTTCCTGCTGCTGAACTTGTACTGCATTGATGTGCTTGAGGTAATACATCATAAACTATTAACACATAGATTGATAAACAAGCACAACTGGTAACAGTTATTAACATAACTTTAATTGCTACACTTGGTCGACAAAACGATCGTTGTTGAACTGATTGGGAACACAATAAAAAACGATCTAAACATGCTAAGACAACACATCCTCGACTGACCAGTTGAGAAGCAGTAAGAATATAATAACGAATTTTACAATATGCCGAATTATAATTTAATAGATTATAGTTGGTAAACGAAGCAAGCATACTAACAAACAAACCCCATGTTAAACACTGTAAATTAGCCCATGAACTTGCATGAAAATAAATAGCGCATGAATTGCTACGCATTGATGGACGAAGAAAAATGGCTATATTCAATATACATCCAATCATACCAAGTGTAAAAAGAATTGGTTGACCAATATGTTGAATTCCAATACGAGCAGTATTTAACATATCTACAGATGGATCGATGGTCGTTGTTGAGATATTATTAGCCATATTAGAATTTAGTTATTTCCTTCTAAATTTGAAACTAGAAAATAAATAAAAAGTACTAGACATACTAATACATTCTATGACATCATTAAACCATTTTTGACGTAGTTAATAGAAAACTAAATAAGTATGTAAAGAATATAGATTAGTTAATAATCATATAGTACGAGTATACTTTTTTTACTTTTATATAGAACAAAATTCTTTAGTACTTTATGTCCGTGAAATTATTTAAAAAATCTAATTGAAAGTAGTTCGTCATAAGGAGAATTCACATTCATTAAAGGCCTTTATCAAATATAGTTTCTCCATCATATCTTTTTTAAGAGCTGTATTAATTAGATTTTGTAGATAGTTTCACGGGCTATCATTTAATAAGAAAACTCACTTTAAACTATTAATAGAAAAGAAAAGTGTCCACAAAGTACAGGAGAGGAGTCGCGTTTTATATAGTAGTAAAAAGTTCATTCGGTAAAACTTTTTTTCAACGTAGTATTTTCTAACAACTAGAGTAAATTCAATACAATGAGACATTTTCTCTTTTCTCTCTCCTCTCTTCGTAGTATTTGTTCATCATCGATACGTCATCCTTTTTATTTTCTATTTTCTTTGAAATTTTTTTCATAAATCTAACTAATCTATTCGATTGTGGAATAGATGATTCATAAGTTTTATTTAATACAAAAAATGTTTTCTCTAACAAACAAAAATATATTTCAATCGAATAGATTACTTAGATTTATGCAAAATATATCAAAGAAAATAGAAGATAAAAATTTTGCTGTCGGTCGACTTCCAAGCGAATTATGAAAATATATATGTTCAATGGTTCTTTACCTTTCAATATAATAAAGAGATAACTACGAAATAACTTTTATCTCATAGTTGATTTTTAGATTAATTTAAAAACCACCTCTTTTGTGGGATGAACTACAAGTTTCTACTCTAAGTAAAAATAGATCTTGAGAAAATTAAACAAACTATCTCAAGTTGGATCGTATAATTTTGTGGTGATTAGGTTTACTAATGATTATTTATAGTATTATATAAAATAATTATAAGATAATCAGAGAATATTTTTTACCGGATCTCATATCTAAATTTATATTGCAATGATAATAATAATGTTTTGTAGAAGAAAGAAAAGTGAATATTATTATACGCAATATGACGAGTGTGATTTGATTGAAAATTCGGATTTCCGCTCTTGAAAGAAGGAAAACAAGATTTTGTCACTATATTTATAAGAGAGAAAATAAAATCTAATAATAACCAACTTGGAATATCATAAAAGATAATGATATGAAGGAAACGAATCATTCATTGATTAATGAAATTTAAACCACAAAAATAGAAAAATCAAAATCTTGAAATGTTATTAGCGTAGTAGATAAGTAATCATATGGAAATAGTATAAATATATTAATTATAGAATCATTTCGATAGATATAATAGTATGTATCATAGATTTCAGCATACTTGACTGGTATTATCGACAAAAATTAAATAAAAAATTGATTGAATATAGAAATCATTGGTTTCGAACTACTTTATAATTTATTTTCTTGATTTGGTGTTCTTTCAACGTCAAAGATTGTTTCTTTTGTTTGAGAAAACAACTATGCTTAAGATTAACAAAGAACTTTACTCATTTGTAAATACTTTATTTTGAAAATAAAAAAAGTGTAGTATAACATCTCATCTTTAGAGTTGATGTGTTGGTAGAAGTTCGCACAACGAATGCAACATTCACATTCTTAAACTTTTATCGATTGTTTAAGGAAAATATACCAAAATATGCAGTGTTTTTCGAATTTTCTTCTTATGTCTAAAAGATTAATAAATAATAAAAATATTGAAGAAGAACAATGAAAAAACTAGCTGAGGTACGCTGTAATTAAAACTTGATTAATAGAAGATCATCATCAGAATCACCCTACAGATGTATCGATCGGGTCTGAAAATATGAATATCAGATAAGAAGAATACTCTCAATATTGATCATACAAGAAAATCGACTAACTTGGAATGAACGATCGAGAAAGAAAGTAATAAAAATGAGAAGTAAATTAATAAAAATTCATGTTTATTTTTATGGCTTAATGTAACGTTTTCGGGTATTTATCTGTACATAGAAAACAATCACGAGATTTTATTAGATATAATTTTAAAATGAGTTTTTTAGTTCTTACGCAGAATTCAAAACAAATTTGTATTTTCAACACGTGAAATGTTTTATCTTCGAGTTGTTCTCAGTAGATGACAAATAAAATAATCTTTTTAATATCAGGGCTATTAATAGGAATGAACCGACTCACAACTGATCTCAAGACTTGCTCATTTTCCAAATAAAATATATCAACAATCTCTAATTAACATGTTAACTAGCTTAATTTTGAAAAGATTCAATGGTAATTTGGAGTAATTTTCATATTCAATTTTCTAACTCGTAACTTACAGTTAATGCGCATATCTACCGATATTTGTTAAAACTTGTCATGGATAAAAGATATGTAAAAGGAAAAGATAATGACAATTACTATTAAAATTTGTTTAGCAAAGTAATAAATGAACGATTGCAAATAACTTCCATTGACAAGAATTTGTCAATCTCGACTAGACAAAATTGAAACATTTTTTTCTTAACGAAAAGAAAATGAAAAAGAGCTAATTAAACTATAAGTATTTATTTATTTTACAATAAACTTCGGAAAAAATTACATGAACTAAAAGTTAATAATTTATTTCATGTTTTAACATCCATGCTTTTTCAATAACAAGAGTAATTATTTCACTATCTATCCCTTCATCCAAATTAGTTCTATTGTCATTTTGATCAAAAATTACTTATACAAAGTTATTTTAGTAATGGTAGGTATTGGAATTTTAATTTCATATATAATAGGTAATAAATGGGAAGACCGACTGGAAGATTCATTCGTACATATCCATATGCCAAGAGGATCACACAAGACTCCGTTTGCTCTTTCGATAAATCCTTGACTTTGTGGATGTCTCGGTCTACCTTGAACGATTAATAAGTCTGGGAAAAAAACTTTTAATCTTATCATTACTGAAGATACAAATTCACGTCCATTATCGCTGTGTAAAATGCGTGGTGAGCCAAACACAAAAAAATAAATCATGTAGTTTCGCAGCCATTTCGACAGCTGAATTTATTCTTCAAAGCAAATGCTCACATGCATTGGCTAAAGTGATTAATACAGTTCAATATCCAACAAAAAACTAGATCAGAAGAAACTTTTAGCAGGTTTTGTACACATATCAATTAAATCTATTTGAAGTCGCGCCATTACATCTAATGAAATAGATTGGTTTAAGAGAATTTCAATAGAAAATCAAGGAATGTAGAAATAGTATTGATTATTTAATTCGTACATTTTTATTTATGTTGATACTTGCTGCAGTCGATCAATTTTTTTCTATATCATCATTAGTATAAGAATGTGCAATTTGAATCAAGTACATATTGTACAACGAACTATAATTATTACTATCATATTTATTATTATCCTCCATATAGAAATATCTTTTCAAGAATGAGACATTCTAACGCCTTTTCTTGAACAATATCGCTTCTAATTAATCTTATCGTGGATGTGGATGATTGCGAACATTCATTTACTAGCCATCTACATACACACACTGACACTTTAGTTATTTTTTTTTTTCTTGAATTTATTATGTAGCTTATAAATATTTGAGAAGGATAATGAGGCAGTGTTAGGCGTCGTAAGAATTTGACGGTTAAAACCAACGCGCGTCTATTCTTGTAAGATAGTTATTCTATTTATTTAGCTTACATTACAATCTTTGTCTATACAGTGAATAATGTCTTCGTCTGACAACAGTTCAGGCAATAATGATGATTCGTTTGTCGATTCAGAAATATCTATTCCACGTTCAATTCGTTTTTGGATTATGCTTTTATTCAACATTCCATCAATAATTTGTAGTTTTTGTGTCATTATTCATATTATTCTTGATCGAACTCAACGATATGCGTTGCATAATCATGCTATTCTTCTTATATTAATCTTAGCTTTACCTATTCAATTGATGGATATTAATTTTTATCTTGTATTCTATCATTATGGTTCTATTCTACCATTGAAACCGATTATGTGTCTTTTATGGTGGTTCGCTGATTATGGTTGTTATAGTGGATGCATTATTCTGATGGCATGGTTAGCCATCGAACGACATATTTTGATATTTCACGATCGATGGGTTTCCAATCGAAGAGGGAGATTTCTTTTTCATTATTTGCCTTCGATTAGTATTGTGGTGTACATCCTTCTCTACTATGTTATTTCTATTTTCTTTGTACCTTGTGAAAATAATTATGTTTATACGTTGCCAGTGTGTGGTACTTCTCCATGTCATCAATCGGATGGTGTTCTTGGCATTTGGGACTTTATTGTTAATACTACTACGCCAACTCTTTTAGAGAGCATTGCTAGTATTGGTCTTGTTTTACGTGTTCAATGGCAAAAAAGACGACTTCGTCAGTCTAATCAATGGCGTAAACAACGGCGAATGATTATTCAATTGTTCTTGGTTTCAGGCCTAAATCTTGGTCTAAATCTTCCACTATTTATATTAGTTTTTGCACATTTCTCGGGTCTACCACCGGACTATGGTGCCCAACCTCAACTTTATTTCTTTTTTTTTGGTTATTTCATTTTTTTTCTCTTTCCATTCGCATCTTTATCTCAATTTCCGAATTTGCGTAAAAAGCTCACAAGGAAAATAGTTGGTATACCATCAAGACAACAACATCATACAGCTACTATTGTACCTGCAACGAGAGCTATACCAATAAATAGATTGACTTGATCTACTTTGTAGAACTGAACAGTTTTTTTATTTAAAGAATTTTAAAAAATGACGAAGAAAATGTGACACGTTTTGAAGTATTAAGATCAGTTGATGTCACCGTTTACTTTTGTGAGTTCTTCTCTATGCTGTGATTTTGCTACTACGTGTTGTCTCTTTCGTATTTCGTTTTGACACATTTGAATATAACTATAACCAATATACTTTATATATAGTTGATGGTCTTTTTAATAAACCAAATAAGTGTAATAAACCCCCCTCCATAATAAAAGACCCCCTGGTCTACTATTGCATTTTGCGGATCAAACTTTTAAAGGGGTCTTCTACTATGGGGTGGCCTTCTAATACGAATTTGTGAGCGTAAACTGCCAAAAATCAATATTACAATTTGTGAAGTTTCAGGCAATATCGTTCGTCATGATTATATTATTTAATAAATATGAAATAAAAATCAGAGTGGGAGTTAAAATGAAATTTTGAAAAGTTAAAATGATTACAACCGTAGTTATAACTTTCAACGTTGATTATAAAATTTAACCGTGGTTAATATAAGTTATTATCACAATTTTGTTAATTAGATAGAATTTCTCTCTCTTTATCCTTAGTGAGTAACTGAACTGAAGCCACTGTTTGACAGATAGTTCTTAATTAAAAATTGAACTTTATTTCAGGAGATAATACGAATTTTTTAGAAGGTAATGATAAAATGGTATGAACTATATTGTAAAATACGGGTTCGGTTCATTTACTCACTAATGTTAAAGAGATAGAAATTCTACCCAGTTGACAGATTTGAAATAATAACTTACATTAACCACGGTCAAATGTTATAACCACAGTTTAAAGTTATAACCAAGATCGCTTTTGGACCGAAAAGTTGGTTATTTATAATTCAAAAGTTGTAACTCGAGTTATAACTCATCCCTTTTTGACTCCGACTCTGATAAAAATAGAAAAAAACAAAAAATAACTGCAAATATTTTTTGTTCGCAAATTGATGGAATTGAGTTGTTTCAATTTTTTATTGCTCCTTATGTTAAATTGGACGGGTGTATTCACATATAATTTTCTGCATCTTCGTTCTGATTGTCCTCTTATTTTTAATTTTAGTCGATTTGTGTCTGTTTTCACGTGAAGAAAACATATTGTAGATGTGCATAAACGGGCTATTACTATATTTTCAGTTCTTTTCTATCTTTCGTTGCACAACACACACAATAGTATGGAGAATTTAATGGAAAAAAATAATAACTTAAAAACTATTTTTTAATTCGAAGACCCAGGTCTTCTATTATGGATTTCACGTTATTTTTGCAAGAGGGTCTTCTATTATGGGAGGGTCTTTTATTACGAGAGGGTCTTTTATTATGGAGGGGGGTTTACTACATGAATTCGTTTTCAATTTTCCTTTTCTTATGTTCACATTTGTCTGTGTTAACCCAGTCTACCTTGGTCTTACATTACTTCTGACGAAAGTAGCTAAGATTTTTCTATTTGCTTCCCACGTCATATTATTATTCATCACCCATGATTGCGTTTTGCTTCACATTATTATTCGCTTGTCTCACATATGAGCATACTAACCATCATCCATTAGTTTCACCTCTTTTTTTTCCATTCGTTTCACATTTTCGTCCAATTTTTACAGTCTCTTAGGCAGTCAGCTGTAGCGAACCTTTTCCTCATTTCATGCTGTTCATGTCTTCTTGCTCTTTATTACACAGCCCATTCATTTTCAATATTATATATACCTCTTCCACGTAGCCACTTGGATTCATTATCGAACTGTTAATCATGATTGTAGAAGACCCTCCGTTATAGAATTTTTTTGTTTTTATTATCCAATGCGTGTAGCAATACTAAGGTGTATCTCTTGCAGAATAATATTATACGTGCTTATTTGTTGATTCATGAGGATGAGGGGGAGGGGGAGATTGTCTACCATCTACACCATCAACTTCACCTGAGAAAAAAATATATGAAATAATTGAATTATTTGTTGATTATTTAGATGTCATCAACAAATGAAATAGGACTTGAGACTGAACGTGTTCAATGTTCATCGGAAATTGATTTAAGTGATCTTCATTGTTCAACAATATGTGAAAATATTCTATGGAAACCAGTCGCTTGTCAACAATGTGAAACTCATTTCTGTTCAATGTGTATCACAAAATGGCTAGGAAACAATCCGAATCAATGTCCGATGCGATGCGATAATTTCATTCAACGATCATGCTCAAAATTCATTGCTAGACAATTGGCCAAATTGCAAATCGCTTGTATTTATCAACCTAATGGTTGTAATGAGGTTGATTCAATTGTTTTCATTTCTGTTATCACATTAAAAATCATTCACTCTAGGTCATTTTATATGAAGCACTCGAAAAACATGAGATGATATGTGGCTATCAACTTGTAAAATGTACTGGTTGTCTATTAGAAATGTTACAAAAGGATTTGACTGAACATCAATCTAAATGTGCATCTGTTCTAATGACATGTGAAGATTGCAAAATTGTTTGTAGACAAAATGATGTGCTTACACATCATTCTGACAGAATCTGTCTTAGGGAACAACTTCGACAATTTCAACATGAATCACAATATGAGACTCAACAACTTAGAGAACAACTTCGACAAGCACAACGTAAGATACATAAAACCTCATGTGTTCTAGACATCCATTGATTAATTGAAAGAGAAAAAAGCTCCTGATTTCATTGATGTTTGAATCAAATAAAAGATTTTATTCTCGTGAACATCGGAGTAATGTGTAGTTCAGTTTGTTTAACAATTTTTTACATCGAATTACAAGTTTTGAGAATAATATAAAATAAAATAAGTTTGTGCTGCGGTCAAACACCATAGATGAAGTACAGATAGTAGAGATAAAATTCGATCTTTACTCAACGAAATAGACTATGGATAGTCACTCATAGTAAAACGTACGATACTTATTTCTAGGCTAAATAAAGATTTTATTTGATGAAAATGATTTCTTTTAAAGTTTGACTAAAGATTTCAGGATAGAGAAAATCGATTATCAATAACCGACACAAATATGACATCATGTATTTCTTAAAATGAAGTTATTTTTAACGAAACACATGGGAAAAGAGAGTCTAAAACGCAAACTCGATAACTGAAGTTTCTAAATTATTCAGATAGTTTAGAGTTTCCATTTAAATTATGTATTCATATTTGAAAAATAAGAAATGTGTCTCAAACATAACGTTACAACTTCCTTTTATTGTTTAGTGTATTTTTTTTAAGCTGTATCACAGCCAATAGATATCAATAACTCAAAATCTCGTATGTGTAGATTCCATATAGAAAACGTATCGAAAAATGAATCAGCGTATAGAAACGTTCTCTCAATATTTTAGAAGTTTATAAAGGCTGAATTTTGTACTTTGTAATGTAATCTTTCACCACAAATACTAATTTCATAGGAATATTCTTGGAAGAAAGATAATAGATGAGTTTCCTTGTCATCATACCATGTAGAATACTAATTCTCAATTCCTTTGAATTTATTAATCTACTTATTCTATTAAATATGAAACATTAGATTAAAATTATACCTATAGTATACTCAAAACTGAGTAGCAAGATGCAGTAAATCACACCAAAGAAATTTAAAACATCTGATTTTGTATATAATTGTTTTTATAAAACCAATAAAATTAAATGTTTTCTTTTGTATTTTAAGATGATCAAACGACATTATTAGTGTCGCGAGGTATTATTGCAGATGATGTAAGTTGTTATATTACACTGTATAATAGGTATTCAGTTCTTTCTCTATTAGAATCCTGTAAAAAGAATTCATATACAATCTACGGTCGAAACTGATACACTTGATAGAAATCGAATTGTTCTCGACAACAACTCACATTCAGTTTTAAATGATCAATTGTTATGTTCGGAATGTCGCAATGTGATCTGGCGACCAGTTTCTTGTGGAAAATGTGGAGCTATTTTTTGCAAAAAATGTCGTCCTCAAAATAACTTTTTTGATAAAATTACGACATTTTTCGGTGGTCAACGTGTTCGACATGGAAGAAACAATTGCGAAAAATTCGAAGAAATACCAGTACCTAATTATATTACTACTGAACTTGATGGATTACGAGTTCGGTGTGTATATGCTCCGAATGGATGTCGGATAATTTCACGTTACTACGATCTTGAACGGCATGAAAAGCAATGTGAATTCGAAATGATTCCTTGTCAACTTTGTCAACTACCTTTATCAAAGCGACCACCGATGATGCAGCATACATTACATGCATGTTTCGAGCAAATGCAGAGAGAAAATCCTGCTAGAATTCAACAGCAATTTATGATACTTCTCAATACTATTGAAAAAACTGAAGCCGACAATCGTCGTCTCCAATCAACCATAGATGATGTCAAAACACAATTGAACCATTTGAATTCAATATGTGTCAAGAAAACTGATAAAGATGACAAATAATTCGAATTTTCTTTTGAATTCATAATTCACAATAACTGAGAATATAAATTCTTTTTTTTAAATCTTCATTGAAATAATCAAGAAGTTGTGATCGCTAAAAATAAATCTTGAGGGTGTAGGTGAGAGATAGCTATGATATCCGCATCTATATCTACATCCACACCCTTTTAATATTCTGTGCTAATTAATCATTGTATTTGTCACATTCGCAGACATCTAAGACTGAAAAATATTTTAGCTTTTGATTTTATTTCTGAGATTGTCTCTGTCAAACGTTATTTCTTCTTTTCCAGTTTATTTGAGCGAGATGCAAGTAACTGCAAGATTTGAACCTACACAACAGATTCCTATAATCCACAAGCTCTTATGATAGTCAGTTCCGAGAAATCGAAAAATCAAACCGAACAAAATTCCACCGAGATTGCCAGATGCACCAGTTACACCTGAAACAACACCGTTAAATTTTGGATGAATAGCAGGAACTAAAGAGAAAATAGCCCCATTTGCTCCCTCTATGAAAATTGCTAGACCAGTCATAGCACCAATTAAACCGTAAATGTGTAACTGTGCCAATCCAATCCAAATAAAGAAGACACCTTGCATAACGCCCAGAAAGATTAGCCACCATTTTTTTGCTACGAGTCCTTTGTAACGATACAACACATCAGAAATGTAACCTCCCAATGGTCTAGTAATAACATTCAAAAGTCCGAACATAGCAGCCCAGTTTCCAGCTGTTTGTGAATTCCAAACTATGCCATCTTTATTTTTTGTAGTTTGGATATAAAAATCTGAAATAATTCCCTCGACAGCAAGTTCGGATCCAAATGAGCAGAGATAAGGAAGTGCAACTAGAAGAGTTTGTAATGAAAATGTAGTTTTCCATATATCTATAGCAGATGGAACCTCAGAAATTTCATAATCAGTCCTAATGATACGAGTATCAACTGGTTCTATTGCCGTTTCTAATGTGTCAGTTGTCGGTGATGTTTGTTGGTGAGAAGTATAGCTAATTGTGTCTCCATCGTTTACGCAAGAAGATATGTCAGTAATAGGAATACGTTCATTAGTATTATTTGAAGATTCAGCTCTATAAATAACTTGAATACCATATTGTCGGGTATCTTGGTGTAAGTGTCGAGTGCTCCATGATCCAGTCGGAGTGTCGTGACCAAAGATAAGTATGATAACAGCAACATAAACGATAATAACCAGTGGACATATTGGAAAAGCAATTCGCCATGCCCAGTATTGACTTATACCGTTATTGTTCATGAGTGAAGATACAATTGCTGGCATGAGAAAAAATGTGACACCACCTCCAGCATTGCCAAAGCCTGCAGCTAGAGCATTGGCTAATCCAATAATATTTTTATCGAAAAATTGATTTATCCATACTTGACACGGAACGAAAGTTCCTCCTAAAACGCCGACAAAAAATCGAATCATCATCAGACCGAAAGCATTTTTGATAAGTGGTATTAATGCAGTTGGAATAGCACCCATAAGAAGGCATCCAACCATGACATACCGAGGACCATATTTATCACATAGGGGACCGATGATAAGACGTACAAGAAAAGTTGCTAGTAGACCAATAATATTTGAGTTTGCGATTTGTGCTTGTGTTAGTTGAAGATCTTTTTGAATAATACCATGAATAAGAGGAGGAAAAGCAAACCATGATATAAATGCAACAAAAAATCCGATCCAAGATAAATTAAATGTTCTCCCATACTTATCGATAATGTTCAATGCAGGAAGAGTACGAGATTTGTAGTTAGATGGATTTATATCCGAACGAAAAAGAGTCCGAATAAATCCAAGATGACTACCCATTTTCAATATTCTAGAATAATGAATCTATACATAAAAGATGATCCACAAATTCTGACTCGATTTGTAGAATTAATTTTTTTATATTAAAATTCTTACTTAAAAATTTAACTTGATGATAAAAATATACAACATAAGACGCTGTATAACACAGTCTATGACCGATCTTATCTAATTCATACGGTAAGAAAGTTATACGCTTAGAAATGTGTTTCATCAGAAAGAAAAATAAATGATGAACCCGATTTCAGTATTTTTGCTTAAACTTCTATACCTAAGGTCTTTAAAAACATCTTGAGGGTGTAGGTGTGGGTGTTAGGGTGGATGTAAAGACAAAATGCATCTGTACTCACACACATATATACATATATATAATAATCTGAAAAACTATTCTATTACACTGGCAAATATCGATTTTTATAACAATTATCATGATTTATATAACTAAGGTTCCTACTTTACTGTAAAATACACAGGTATGTGAATGAAATATTTTTAAAAAGTAGTTCGTTCTAAATCACAGTGATGATTAAAGACTGAGAAAACAACTAAGTTGCTCTTTTTTGCATCGTCGGATGCAAATATAACTAATCCTATACTATAATTCTTCAATAATAACAATTGTCAACATCGATTAATCAATCGATAGAATCCTAAAATGATGCATGACTAGACAAATCTCACTTATTGTTCAACATTATATTCAACGTATAGCCGAGAATTTATCATAATAAAATAAAACAACATTTATCTATTTCAGTATTTTACTTATTTCAATTAAACTGTACACATACATATTAGTTTCTTTTAATCAAAGTCATTTTTCTTAAATTTTTCATCCTAATGCTTTTCTGATGTTATTATACCACATATCGTATTTGAATTATTGGTTGAAAAGGCATCGGCTTTCGAAATATTATTGTTTTTCATCCAACACGTACCACCATTGTATAGATTCCATGTATAATGTGTACATCCAGATGTTGCAAAGCATTTTTTCTCACAATCATCTGATAAGGTTATAACATGAGAAATATCATTTCCATTGAAATCACAAGATAAAGCCCAATTATTTTCATTCCACATAATAGTTGAGTTTTGGTCATGTTGTTGATGACTACTGTTTATTATGCCACAAATCATAGTTGGATGATCAGTTAAAAAAGCATCCGTTTTCGAAACATTGTTCGTTTTCATCCAACATGTTCCATTGTTCCATGTGCTCCAAACATAATGAGTACATCCTTGTGTCTGAATACA